CACCACCACCACCACCACCACGCACAGCAATACCTCTACATGATTGCAAGGGTTTTGTGCGTGCATGCTCGCATCCAAATGCATTCACAACTCGACATTGGACCCAGATTCATCTGCTACTGCTGCTAGGAACATCAGAGACCCGGACCCGGAGCTAAAGCTCGTGTTGCCGAAGGCCAAGTGGAAGCCAGTGCCGGGACCTTCGCTTATCTTTCGACTTAGTTTGTGACGTGTCGGGGAAATCAAAGGGTTCCAAGGTTTGGGTAAAGTGTGCTTTCGATGGGTGCGCCTTTTGCTTCTTTTGCTGCGTGCACAACGGCACCAACTTTAGCTTCACTGGTGGAGTCTATGGCATGATAAGGCCTCTGGGAGCAGCACTTCGGAATCGGTTGGAAACAGGGTTTCAAAGTCGAGGCCGCTCCATGAAGTAGTCGCAACCGTTCCAACAGATCCTAAGTTGTTTTGGGTTTTAGGCGTTACTAAGCCGTCAATAATGATCTCACGTTTTTCAACTGCCAATCCCAAAGTTCAAGTTCAGTGTCTGGCTCTGTAGATGAAATCTCGGCAGTCTCATATGCATACGAGCTAATTCCCACGCGCAAGCATCATCTAAACAAAGTCTCGAAGACAACCGTATCCAGGTTGGGCAAGATTCAAGCACCCCCAAAACTTACTATATCCTCAAGCCAAGCTCCTCTTAGAGAGGCAGCGGTGACATGAAAGCGTAGGTTATTGTTGGAAGCATTCCTCTCAGGGGCCGGGTCTATGTTCATGTTACACTGTAGATTTTTGGACCGCAAGTTATAAGACTACTTACTGTAGATCCCTGATGAACGAACCCTCCCTCCTTCAGGCCCGTAATAGCAGGATCCCTCCCATAATCCTTCTTAAGAGAACCGGAGAGGGTCTCGGGTTCAAAGGCGCAGGGTGCGGTCTTTTCGAAAACCCGTACTTTACGCAAACCACGAGTGCTTGAAAAAATGGCCCGAGCTCGAGCAGTGATTTGGCTCGAGTTGCCATAGCATGCGGCGGTAGTAAAAATGCGCCCTTCTTGGAAGCTGACAGTAGGTCAGTAGCTCTCTTAACCAGAACCATCAATGCTAATGTAGGGGCCTTACTAGCTAGAATAACAGTAAGGCTATATGGCGTAGTATACCATAACTATAATAAGGATCCCCGACAATAGTAGAGGTACCCTATATGAAAGCCCCGGGGCCTGGATGCCAAATTTATAAACCCTAAACCCTAAACCCTAAACCCTAAAGGCTTTCAAAAGCAACCCTCCTAGGCCCCGCCAAGCCCCGCCAGCCTCAACACAAAGTTTTTGGCTTCAGGGGTTTTGGGGTTTACCTTAAGAACCCAAAACCCACTTTTTTGTAGGTTCTTATTTCAAACCCTAATATGGGATTTATAGGGACCCTACAAAAACGTAGGTTTTGGGTTCTTAAGGTAGGGTTTGGGGTTTAGGGTTCCTCAACCAACAACCCTAAAACCCTGGAGGCCTATACTCTGGAACTCGAAACCCTGAAAACCCCAAGTCACCAACGTCTAAAATCCCCCTCTGCCTGCGAGGATGACGGTGGAGCCCCAGGAGGAAGTCGAAAGACCACGGCCGTCGACCACCACCGACCTTCACAAAGCACACTTTGGGGACGCTTTACGGTTTTTGAGTGAGAGTGTATGGTGTAGTACCTGTAGCCCAAAAGACCTGCCTTTTAAGGAACCATTATATATATATATATATACATGTATATGAATCATAATGAGGAACCCCAAAAGAGTAGGGCTTTTCGGCTGCAGGTATGCCTCATTATAATTTTGGTAGTGGGCCCCAAAACCTTATTCTAATTATTAAGGCCCCTACATTATGGTCTAGTAGTGTTTTAGGGTTTCGGGATCTTCGCGTTTTTTCGAAGGACAGGCTCTCTGCGCAATGTTCAACTCCTGCTCGGCTGCTGGAGTCAAGAACTGGGAACTCCAAGTTTGGGGGCTTACGGTTTAGGGTTAGGGTTTAAGGTTTAGGGTTTAGGGCTTAAGGGCTTGGGGTTTAGGGTGAGGATTTTGCTTTCGGCTTCGGTAAACCCTACAACCCTACAGCCCTAGAGCCCTACAGCCCTAAAACCCCACAGCCCTAAACCCTAAAACCCTACAGCCCTAAACCCTAAACCCCACAGCCCTAAAGCCTAGAACCCTACAGCCCTAAACCCTATAGAATCCTACAGCCCTAAACCCTCGAACCCTACAACCCTAAAGCCCTGAAACCCGGCATTTTCAAAGGGCTGAGGCCGGGACCCGACTCTCACCATCCTTCAAAGCGGTTTAGGGTTTAGGGCTTTTCGTTTGGGGCTTAGGGTTTAAGGGTTTAAGGGTTTAGGATTGAGGGTTGAGGGTTTTATATAGGGTTTAGGTTTAGGGTTTAGTCCTTCGGGCTCAGTTTAGGGTTTATATGTTTTTTTCGACGAGGCTTGGGGTTTACGCCTTTGTTGCTCGGTGTTTCGGATTTAAGGGCCCGATTGTGGCGACGATAGAGGCGACTATAGGGGCTCCCAACATGGGCCCCTTTAATTGTAAGGCTACCTTAAGAACCCAAAACCCACTTTTTTGTAGGTTCTTATTATACACCCTAATATGGGATTTATATGGACCCTACAAAAAAGTAGGTTTGGGGTTCTTAAGGTAGGTTATTGAATATAAGGTTTCGCCGTATTCTATAGGATCTGATTGAGCCTAATAAAGATCTTAACGAATAAGGCTTGGGTGGATATCATGATGTATTTGCAGTGGTAGTACAAAGAGGGTAGGAACCAACAACTACTTATTGAAACCTCCAAGTTACAGAGGGCCGGTTTGCGGGCTTGGGTTTTGTAGGATTTCGGATTCAGTGTTCCTTGGTGTAAAGTCAAAGGCTACTTTAATGGCTACGGGCTACTACATGGGATGTTGCAAGGGTGACTGTCAGAGTTAGATATTAAGGTTGCTTAGCTGCGTGGCCAAACTCGCAAGTCACACTAGGGCGGAACCTAAAATGCCCAAGCAAGGCTTTAAGACTAAACTAAACCGTAAACCCTAAGCCCTAAACCCCTCCAAAAGATGGTGTTCAGGGGCTTTGGGCGTCAGGACTTTGAGGGTCTGCTCAAGGACTTTCGGGTTTCGGGTTTAGGGGTTTAGGGTTTCGAGCTGCGGCGCCCAATAAACTTCACGATTTCGAAGGCAATGGGCCCGGTATCTTTTCGGCTGAAGGCTTGGACAACTCCTTTGGGCCTGTTTCGTCGCATGTAGGGTCTATAAGGTGTGCAGTTTTGGGTTTGGGGCTCCCATTGAAAGTCATTCTTTGAAGGGCAGGTTGTCGCATGAGGCCCTGTGGGTCTTACTTGGGGGCTTTGGCATTGGTGCTTGCGGAATGCAGGATGTAGGCCCCAAGCTTTAGACCACACCTGGAGCCCAAAACACCTAAACTGTCGTTCAGCTTCAAACATCTAGTCTAGAAAACTGAGAAATTCTGGCTGAATAAGCTCGTTCCCTTGCCCTGACTTAATGCTGAAACCTGGAAGACCAACAGGATTCGCCTGTCCGGGTCAAGTCAAACTTTGTAGCTTAGGGTAGGGTCGCAACGCATTCGGGAATTAGGGCTTTAGGGTTTAGGGTTTAGGGTCGCAATGCATTCGGGAATTAGGGTTTAGGCCAAGGTTTGGGGCTGTGAGACCATACTCTGACAACTTGAAACCCTAAACCCTAAACCCTAAACCCTAAACCCTAAATCCTAAACCCTAAACCCTAAACCCTAAACCCTAAACCCTAAACCCCAAAGCCTTGCTCCACCGATTCGAGCCGAAGCCTAAAGCATCCCCGAAGTCACACTCAACGAAGCTGGTGACCCTGTCTTAAAGCTGATATGGGGGTTTCCGAAAATAGGGGACCCTAATATAGTACCCTAAATAGTAGGATCCTTATTATAAGGATCCCCAAAATAAGGTACCCCTAATTTTCTGAAACTCCCATATGTCAAATGGTACATAGAATGACCAAACTATTTAGAATGACCAAGCTACAGTACGCCTATGTCAGGCACTATAGCGGGAGTCTTTCCAAGGATTCCGACGCTTTTAATCGTTTGCCACCAGCACCCCCACCATCAGAATCAGAAAGTCTAAGTTTCCGAGTCCCTCACAGCTCGCGTCCCTCGGTGAGTCCAAACTCCTGGTGTACGCAGGTGCTACTTGGAGGTTCATGGGTAGTTATAGGTGGGGTTATAAGTCCCCTAATATGGGTTGCAACTATAGTTACCCTACTTATAAGCCATTTTAAAACTACACATGAACCTCCAAGAAGGGTGCAGGATTCCGGGGTCTGTGGTTTTAGTGTTCTGGTTCGAAGGGTTTCTTATATTACATGCAGAATCAGGTTTCGGGTTTTAGGTATGGTGTTGAGAGTCGGGCTCCTTAGGGTACGGATAATGGGCTTACGGTGATTGATATGTGGATTACATTATCGGTTATCAGATCTTGTAGCTAGCTAATCAGACCTCCATAGTTCAAGTACGAAACCTGTCCTACAGATCATAAGTGAACACCACAAGTTTTAGGCTTAACCAATGTAGGATCCCACACGGTGACTCAACAAAAACCTACAATGGAGACTGTAGGAGTAGTTTTTCCCTGCTTTGAGGAGACTGGCCTTTGCGTGGGACTAAATTACTCATCCAAGACCTCTAAGGGTCGTCATGCATCGCTATCCTTGGTAACCTCATGCCCTCGTTATCCTTGGTAGCCCTAAGGAAGCCTAGTAGTTTGTTGAGGCCCCATATTAAAGGAGGTGCCGAGTTGATAGGGTCTGCAGGTCTCGGTTGGAGTCGTCATGGGACTGGATACCTCAACCCTGGCCAGGGCTTTAGTTTAGGGCTTAGGTTTCATGGAATGCGCCTCTACATCTGAAGCTCCCTAGCTGTGCATCTCGTGTGCGTCGTCTTGATGTCAGGTTTAGGGGGGGAACTAACTACAGTCAGACCGTTCACCTGCTCCCAATGCTCGACATCTTGGCCTGGAATGGCTCTGCAGGGCCTTTAGCCACAGCCCTGAAGAACCGCCTAAGCACCAAACCCCACAGACACAAAGCCCAAGATTCCTTACTTGCGGGGTATTAGGCCCCCAACAAGAAACCCGAAGCCCCAAACGTAAACCCAAACGCCCAAACTCTCAGCGATAGTACATGCCCGTCGTGACTCATGGCTCCCAAAATGACCTACGCACAACGTCAGAAACTTAAGAACCCTCCAAGTACAGCACTCAAGTTCTACCCCCGTCCTCGCTGAGCATGGGATCTGCTTGGCCCGGCGCAAGGCACCAGCCGAGCCTGCAGAGAACATAAGGGTCTGTCCAAGGGTTTTGGACTTAGCTTTGAAGTCCTTGACATGAAAGATGAGGATTTCAGCAAAAACCCTAAACCCTAAGAGCTACTGGGGCTTTCTGGGAAGGGATCGCCTGGTGACCCGGCTGTCTGCCCGGTAGACACCTCCCACTCGCACCTCGCGGAAAGGGCCAGGGTTTAGGGTACAGGTCTATGCGAAAGTGGGGTTTTAGGGTTTAGGGGTTTCGACTCACACACTCGCACAAGGCTGGCATGGCAAGAGAAGGTCCCGAGCTNNGAGCTTGCTACATGTACATACCTGCACTGCGATTGACTCTCTACCCCGAGTTGCCCAATGACAGAGCGGACACAGAGAGAGAAGACCCCAACTTAATATAATAATAAAACTCATTAGGCAATCTCCAGTGGCAGGCATCCGACACTGGTCTATTGCGACCGTGTTAGGCTCCCATACAGCTACTGGGACTACTGTTTCAAAATGTTCCCGGACCAATCTACGACCTCACTCATTTGGCGAACTGTGGCTGAAAGTCTCTCCGTGACAACGTAGTGTGATGCTTCAAGTCGTGGTGCTCGTGGTCGTCGTCGTGCCATCATGCTTCGTGTGGTACTCAAGTCGTGGTGCTCGTGGTCGTCGTTGTGCCATCATGCAGACTTGCAGTATTAGCAGACTCATCACATTACCATGTAGGGCATGCACAGATATTCAATGTTGTAGATTCAGTTGCAAATTCCATAGGTCATGCCATTCTTCCTCATGCACTGATCGCACAGATATTCAACGTCGTAAATTCAGTTGCAAATTCCATAGGTCATGCCATTCTTCCTCATGCACTGATCTCAAGGGGTTTAGGGTTTAGGGTTTAGGTTCAGGGGTAGCTATAAGTGGGGTTATAAGTAGGGTAACTATAGTTGTGACCTGGATTAGGGGACCTATAACTCTATTTATAACTACCCATGAACCTCCGAGTAGAGTTAGGGGTTTACGAGTTCTTAAGGCAAAAGGGCTAGTTCCGGCTTGGGCCGTTTTAAGGCTTTAGGGCTTCAGATTGAGGGTTTAAGGGTTAAGGGTTTAGGGTTTGGGTTTAGAGTTTGGACTTGGTACACTTCTCGACTCGTGCGTGTCATCCTCGCACAGGGGCCATGTTAATCTTCTCTGTATCGTTCTAATTTATCAGATAATCACCGGATTCCTTACGGTTTCAGCACTCACACTCGGACAAGCCTAGGCGAGGGGCACCAGTTCCGGTCTATAAGGGTTTAGGGCTTAAGCCGTTCAGGGCTTGGTGTTCGGTAGACTTCGCTTTCAGGCATCAGCGAACCTTCCGGCAGTGGGTCAGTATTACCTTCAGCCTTGAACGTGCTAATGCGTGTCACCCCAAAGGCCTTAACGGATTCACCATCCTACGACATGATGCATGAACCTTCAGCTGCAACAACAGAAGCGCAACATGGCTCGTGGGCACCTGCCTGCCTACCTCCATACCTACCAAGTGCCTTTACACCCCAAACCCTAAACCCTAAAGCCTATGATGACTATTTCTACTGGTTGTTCCGGTCCTCCGCGTCCTCGGCCTCCGTGTCGAGCATGGAAAAGGGATCCTTAATCTTCGACAGCTTAGGTCCCCAGATAGTGTACGGGACCCTTGGTTACAGGACCCTAAAAGGGACGCCAATTTAGAGAACTACTCGCATGATGATGAAGAAGCCAACAGCTGGGGATCACAGCAAGCCCGGATTTATTTTTAACGTTTAGCGGCTCAGCGTTGAGAGTTTAGGGTTATCCATACAACTCGCAGCACTACAGTATGTAGTGTGGTTTCTGGTCTTGGTTCGGCTTTGCACTGTACACATGCTGGGGATGGCTCTGTCCCCGACATTCGTGTGTAGCTGCCAAGCCCTCAAAACAATCTGTGATGACCAGTAGAATAAAGGCATAATCGTTCAAAATAACGATTTGGAGAAAGGACCTTATTATTATTTCCCTCAAACACGAAAACGCCACATAATTTTATTAAAAGTATAATGATCATATACCCCAACATCCCAAAACCAACGTACCTTTGACAACTTGAAGCCCAAATCGAAAGTGCAGCTCGGCAGCGGCAGGACTCGATTCGCCATGAAGTGCCTCACCCCTGGCCTGGCTTTGGGAATTTTGAGTTTTGGGGATTGGGGAGTTGAGGGTTAACGGGTTCTTCCATAGGTTTCGTGACCGAGGTGTGTTGAAAGTAGGTAGGGGAATCCCAGGTACGCGGTGCTGTTACCACTCGGGTGCGCCTGCTTGGCCGCCAAGAACGCGAATATCTCGACAACTTCTTGGTGTGACAGGACCTTGGCGCTTCTTCGGATTTGATGTTGATGCTGAGGGTGCACAGGAACCAAACACCTATGCAAGCCCAGACGTACTTGTTGCAATATGATCCCGATCCTGCTTTAAAGGGCCAACTTTTGGGACTCCTTCTGTCGGCTCAGCAACTAACCCGAAAGCCGTTTCACAACTGGGCTCCATGCAATGTAAACAGCTTCAAGACTCGTCCCCGAAACCCTAAACTAAACCCTAAACCCTAAACCCTAAACCCTAAACCCTAAACCCTAAACCCTAAACCCGAAGTCCCTTGAGTACAGGCAGCAGGAGTCCCGAAGTCATAGTCCCTTACTTGGAGGTTCATGGGTAGTTATAAGTAGGATTTATGGGGTTCCTTTAAGGGCTCCTTTAAAGGGTTCTATAGGGTTTAGGGTTTAGGGTATAGGGTTTAGGGTAGTTATAAGTTTAGTTATAAGTCCCCTAATATGGGTTATAAGTATAATTACCCTACTGTCCCGAAATCATACCTATAGTCTCCATTGTAGTTCTTTTTTTGGTTTAACCAATTATATATTAAGGATGTTATAAGNNACTACAATGGAGACCATAGGTAGTCTCTTGAGGGCTCTAGCGTTGAGTGGTTTAGGGCTCTACGCAGAAAGCCTGATGCCCCTACATCCGGATCTTGCAAAACAGCAGGTTCCGCAATCTGATTTCAAGTGTCATCTTTGATCAAAGAGGCCTGGGCTCTCTGGTAGCACCCTATTATTTATTGGGTGTTAGTACCTGATTATTTATTGGGCTCCTTGATAGTCTGCTTATAGTACAATATATACCTCAACACCCTATGCTGTTTCTTTCCACACTGGACTTAATTATCAAGGTCCCGGTATTACAGGTCCTGTCTAGGATTGGTGGGGGCTGTGGTTCCTGATTCGGGGACTCGGATCCAACACATCGGGTTCGGGAAACTCAGAGCCCACAACCTCTTCTGCAAAGGCTATCCACAACATATGTATACAATTATAGCTCTCTAGCATCTATATATATATATAT